TACCTGGCTATGCACCAGGAACTTTTGTAGCACTGGGGTTTCAGCAATGAACAAATCAGGCAAGATTCCTGCCCACCACCCTGTACCCATAATATGGTTTAATAAGATAGTAATGGATGGTGATAGGTTCTCCTAGGAAAGTGACTCTTGCTGGTAAGCAGGTTAGGTTGTCAGTGCTGGGCTCAGTTGAGAGGTGATATTTGATCTGAGCTCTCAATGGTGAGAATGCTCTAGCCATGGCAAGAGTCAGGCAGAGTTTTTTATTTTTTTATTGTCAGGCAGAAAGACCAGCAAATAGAAAGAGGTAGTTTCTACAGAGCATACTCTGACTTTGTCAAAATGTTCTCTGGGGAACCGAATCATACAGAACAAGGCCCTGTGAGATCTGGCCCTACACTCTCTTAGGATGGAGGTACTACACAGAGCCGTCAGCTTGGGGAGGAAGAATGTATATCTTAGTGGAAGAGAAAGTATGAAGTCACTGTGAATCATTTAAAGTAGGCGTGCTTTATTATTTTTTTTTAAAGGGAAGCTAAAATCATTTTGCTATTTTTTCAACTAATTTTGTTGTACTTTATGAGCTTTGTGTCATTCAGGGAACTTGGAAACATTTATTCTCCCTCCTCCTGCTTTATCTGTGGAGTAGGTGGGAGAGCTTTAAAAAGCTCCTGAAGATTCACTTTTCTTTGCCAGTGGTTGTGGTGGGAGGACAGCTGGGCCCAGGGACCAGAGGCAAGAAGTGTTTGGGAAGTGGAGCCACCTCAGCGGAGAGCACCACGGAGCTTCAGTGGGGTTTAGAGCCTGAGGATGTTGTCACTGGTTTCAGCCCCAGTGGGATTTGTCGTGCAAATAAGGACATTCCTTCCAAATTCAAAAGAATGCCTGTGTGTGTGCTGGGATTCATTTCACATATTAGGGAGTCATCTCAGATAACTAGTGTGGTATGATTTTAAAAATGAAATAGTTAACTCTGATCTGTTTCCTTCCCAGTTGGTGAGCCTCAAGGCCAGTTGGGGATTTTCTCTTCTAGACTCTCTGGGTTTGTTGGTAGAAGAGTTAAAACTTGTGGAAGGAGAAGGAGAGAGTCTGTTGTGAGCTCAGGAAGCAACTTGGTTCCTGAATTTGGAAAAAAAAAATGAGAGGGGCCAAGTCTGTGTTGGATGGCATGAAGTTTGGGGTATGTTTTAAAGGAAACTAAAGAATTTCAAGGTATAATTTTGGGATACAGTTATCTATTGTCAAACAAAGACTCCCTAATTTCAAAACAACAACAACAAAAAGGCAAAACAAATATGAGCTGGATCCTTCTCCATCTTTAGGTTGGTGGAAAAGTAATGTAAAAATTTAGAAGTTGCCTGTGCCGTGTAAAAGAGATGCATGGTTGCTGAGTGCACGTTGAACATGGGAGTTCCTGTTGGTCCAGAGCAGGTTGCGTGGTCAGGATTGATGTTTGGTAGGAATGAGGGTGGCAAGAGGTGACTTTCACAACAGCCAATATTGCTCTACATCCTTGGGGTGGGATAGAGAAGAGGATGAAGATGAGAGAGGTGAGGGTTCAAGGTCTTTGGCAGGGTCTGAAACAACACTTGTGATGACTTTTGGCACATTGGGCCAGGGAAATGTCCTATTTTAGGCCAGGGTAATGGAACAACAGAAAAAATGAACAGTTCACTTTGAAAATGAGGGCCAGAGAAGGAGGCAAATTACTGTCTTGAGCTTCCCCTAGATTTCCTTCCCTTCCTAAACTCTTCCAATTTGCATTATGGCTCAGCTGGAGGTTCCTTGGGCTGGAGGGGACATCCGAATGTGTCTGTCTTCTGTTGAAGGATAGCATGGATACTGTGGGCCTTGTGATGGGGAAGGTTGACCTTAACCAGCTTTGGGTTTCTGTGGGGCTGGCTGACTGAAGGTCACCTGGTAGTACCTGGTGATGTCTGGGAAGAGATCTCTCTAGGCTGGTCCATTCAGAGAACCAACTTACTCCTGTCTGTCATCTTTGTGGTACGTGGCATTTACTTTGCCATTCTTGGCGTGGGACTGCTCAGGCTGTTACATGACCACAAAGTGGAAATCTGGAAAGAGAAGTGTTCAGCTGACCTGGCAGGTTTCCACACATTGCATTGATCTTCAGTGTCCTGCCCTTTGATGGCAGGAAGGATCTGATCAGAGTGCTTGCACCTTAAAACTGTTCCTCGAAGGCCCTGTGATGACCAGACATCCTCAGGTCCTTTGTTCTGCCAGAGGATCCTGCACAGGTATGTGAAGGCACTGATCTACTGCTGAGACTGGACAGCCCCCTTGTCTGGAGGCACTGAGGCTGAGTATAGGAGGCACTGCTGTGAACACAAAGGTCCCCTCCACTTACCCAGTTGCCATTCTGTTTTTAATTTATTTGAAATAAAAAGAAGCAATGGTTGTCATAATGCAATACAGAATGGGTAAACATACTAAGAATATGCAGCTGCCCTTAGCCTGAATTGTTGGATCTTTCCCGGAGGATGGTTAATTAATGACCTCAGAGACATTGTTCTGGAGTTTTTGAGGCCTCTGGGTGAAATATACTCTTTTCCAAGTGGTCATCAAAATCACCTGTGGGAGACTTTTGACCCATTCTGGGGCCTCTAAACCAGAGTCTGTTTTAATACCTTTGGGTCTTAGGAGGGTTTTTTTTTTTTTTTTTTTAAGTTTTCCAGGTGGTTTTAATTTTTAGCCAGATTTGGGAACTGGCCCACCAGTTACGCATCCAGGGAAGCTCTTCTCACTACCTCCTTGTTGCTTTATACTGCCCTCAAACTGTGAACCTGAACCTCAGCCATGAAGGGGCTTTACTCCTCTTCAAGTCCCTTTCCAGGCTGCTTTATCCAAATTGCTTTCTCTTGACTCCATCTCAGTGAGGATCAGGGCTGGTGGCTCATCTCTTTCTAATACATGAAGAGAACTCCACTTGGGGATTTTTCTGTGTACAAGAGTGTGTGTTGCTAGGGTTTGAACTCAGGGCCTTGTGAATGCTAAGCCTGGCTCTACCACCAAGCTACATCCCCAGGCACACACACAAGATTTTGATGGGTGGATATTCTGAGACTTTTCTCAGGAACACTCATTCTGGGGCTTGAATGTATAGTAGCTTCTGGCCATGGAAATCCAGGTCCTGGGGTAAAGATAGGCAGGACCGATGACTGGTACAAGAAAAAAAAAAAATCTTTATTTACTGTCTTCTCAGAGATCTCATAAAAGGTTCAGGGTTTCTACCACCATGTTTTTTGGACCCTACAAATTCTGGGACAACAGCGGTTGTCCCAAGTGAATTATAAGTAGGCCTTGCCAGGGAACAGGGCTGAATTGGTTGAATTCTTGATATGAACACACAAGACATGTTCTGAGTGTGATCAGGGCTGTGCATCAAAGCCCAGTAGATGTTGGGTGATGTGGCATAAGGCAAGGGGCATAAGCCACAAGGTAATAAAAGATCTGGACAAGATCAAATTGGAGGGGCTGCTCACACCTCCTTACTTTTGCCTATATTATCTCATGGCTTGGGATCCCCACCGTCCCTCTACCATCTCCTTCATACCTGGGCCATCCCATCCAATTTTAGGATATCCTCTATGTTACGGAGTATCTCTTCATCTCTGCATTAGGTGCCTCTGCTCAGGGCTCCCATGACACACATGCATGCCCAGATCATTATATTCTCTGATTGTTTTGTAATTTGTTTGGAGTGTCTGGATGTGTCTTTAATTCAGACAGAGCAATGTAGGGGTCTTCCTCACTTGTGAATTTCCGTTACCTCACTCGCTGTCTGGTAATTATAGGGTTCAGTAAATATTTGTTGAGTTAATGAATTACTGAATTCTTTGACAGAGTGATATAATTAATTCTCACCAACTTGAAGTTGAGTAAGTGGCTCACTTATTATAGTGCCGGTACCTTATACCTGAGCTTATTTATAGTCTTATATTTAAGGTGCATATTAAGGGAGATTTTTCTAGCATAGTGTTCTAGATAGTTTGAGACATTAACTAAGTATTTTTGAAATAATGGCATTTGTGGGCAGTTCCCCCCAATTTGTATTTAAGGAAGTAAAATTATTGAAAAATGTCATATTAAAAAATAAACTCTTAGGGAACCGGCTACAATTTACTCTTATATTCTTTGGTGACATGTAAAGGAATGTAAAACATTTTAGTAGGTGTATTTGTTTTTAGTAGAGACTTATTAGTAGAAGCTTCAACTGTTTCCTTGACGTTAATACTTCTCTTACAGCTAAGTATTAATTTTGAGACACACAAGTATGTGCATGGATTTGCTTTATATATATATATATATATATATATATATATATATTTATTTATTTATTTATTTCTGGTAGCCTTAGAGTCATGAGTAGATAAAAATATTTCAGCATTACCTAAACAATAATGCAAAATCAGTTATAAATGTCAGCCACAGTTCCTCTGTATATGTCGAGAAGACAGTAAGGAGCAGTAAGGAGCCTGCCTGTGAAGAGTACCTGCTATTTAGCACCAGCTGATTGTTGACAGACACAAATATGGGTCATATTGACAGATCATCATCATCTTCTTCTTCCTCTTTCTCCTCCTTTCCCTCCTTTTCCTCTTCTTCCTTGCTCTCTTTGCTGGAAGTCTGGGGGGATTTTATGTGACATACTCTTTGAACATACCCTGCAGATGACATTTAACACCTCTGTAGGCTAGACGTTGATCCACTAGTTTATGATTCCTGTTGAAGATGATCTCTTAAGCTCCTTTTTTGCCAAAGTTCCTATCATTCTTCAGGAGACTATTTCTGTGGATGAACTGAAGATTCTTGTTCTACTGTGGAAAGTCAGGGTGGGGAAGGGAGTTGGCCTGGAAGCGGAGGATGGGGACTTTGAACCTACATGGGGTTCCTGGCAATTGGTGTTTAGATGGGTCCCCTTGGGATAAGGCCACAGTGTCTTTGTGATTCACACCAGGTATTTTGTATATTTGTCGTTACAGGAGTTGGCATCCATTGGAAGAGTCTGTGAAACCCCCTTTCTGCCCAGAGCTCCAGGACCAATGCATCTTCCCACCACCTTAAACCACTGGTGAATATGTGTGTGTGTGTGTGTGTGTGTGTGTGTGTGTGTTCCTTCTGCTGCAGTAAAGGGAAATATTTTTAGTCAACTGCAGAATGTGATTTGAAGAGAACTCTGCTAACCTTCCTCTTAGAGGAGAAAGGACACTAGTCTGGGTCTATATATTTCTGGATTTTACCATTTTTACTGTGGTGAATTACTTAGGTGAATTAGAGAAACGTATCCTGCCCTGTTTACACTGCAGGGTTGTTTGCTTTGAAGACTAAAAGAGATAATGAATTTGGAAATGCTTCCAAGGGAATGAAGTGCTGGGCAAGTATAAGGCCATACTATTTGGCTCTGAGATGTAGAGAAGGACAATTCTTTTTTTCCTTCCACACTTTATTGATTTTATTAACACACTTTTTCAAGCTGGAATCCCATTTTAGCCAACTCCCAGCCAGGGGCTTCTTCCCTTTGCTTTTATAATGTTCATAGATGTCTTCACCCACTAATCCTGTGAGAGAGGGGAAAGCCAGACACCTCTTAGTTAACCAGTGCATTAAAATATGAACATTATTCTCATAGATGTATATGTATATGCTGGTAATGTGAATTTTACACACCTGTTTTCTTAGATCTCCAGAGTGGTTCAAGAGATTCATGTTTTCTTTCTTTTCCTTTTTTTTTGTTTCTACCACTGTAGCTGCTTTTGTCTTGAAAGATGAATTAACTATATTACACAATGACCTTCATTTTTATTTGAGATCAGATCATTTCACAGTTAATAAATGTCCTTTGGAAGAAACTTAATTACTCATCACACCTGGTAAATATCTTGTTTCCGAGGTAGTTGAAAGAGACAAAAATATGTCCTTAGCATTGTGTTCAGCGCTGACATGAGGATACTTGGGGGTGTGATAGCTGGTCGATGCTGAAGGTCCTGTGAGCAGTGACCCCTGCATCTTGACTCCAGCCCCTTGTTGGAAAGGGGAGTGGGCCTGTCAACATTTAATCAGCTTCCACCATGTGGATTGGGTGCTCTTGTGATCCAGTGAGACAAATCCCAGTGGCACGGTCACCTGGGGAGCTTGCAGGGTCCTGTGGTTGGAGCAGAAAGGTAAAGGCAGATAGGACAGACAGGCCCAGATTTAGGAGCCCAACTCAGCCACAGAGGCTAACTGTCCATACTGCTCTGTCTAGGTGTATAAGGTGAGCGAGGTGGACATTCTAGGTTCTACCTGAACCCCGTCTGGTAGGCAGGAAGAGCTCTGTAGTTGGAGTCCCAGGGAAGCAGATGGCTGCAGGTGGCAGGACCTCTCATTCAGCAGACATGTGTCAGTGCCTACTCTGTGCCAAAGCACTGCTCTGAGCACTGGGGATTTGTTCACCACATGAGGAACAGTGTGTCCATGCTTCCCTGGGGCTTAGGTTTGAGTGAGGCTGACAAACAAGAACGTGAGCTCCCTGAGGCCTGAGGTGTTTGCTCGTCTCAGTCACTGCTGTATGTCCAGCTCTTTAAGTTGTACCTGATGGGTACTCACTATGGTTTATGAATGAAGTAAACAAATAACTAAATAGAAAATGTATTTTCAGGTAGTAATACATACTAAGAAAAAATAAAACAAGGTGAGGGACTGAAGGGATTCTTTTTGAAAGAATAGTCCAAAAAGGCTTCTCTGTGTGTATGTGTGTGTACAGGCATGAGAGAGAGAAAGGGCGCGATTGACTGAGCCATCTTGTGCAGAGACCAGCAGGGGTAAAGGAATCTGGGGACAAGTGTTTAGGCAAAGGAAACAGCGAGAGAAAAGAAAGCACTTTAAGGTAGGATGCATTTGTCCTGCTAGAGGAACAGGAAGGCAGCCAGTTTGGCTGGACTTGGGCTAGAGGTGGTTATAGGGAGGGAGAAAGAGATGAAATCACTTGTAAATGGGACCCATGTTGCACAGGCCATGACAAGGAGTGAGGATTTTACCCTGAGAGTGATTGGATTCCGTTTGAGAAGTTTAAGTGCAAGAGCCTGTATGGTCTTTTGTGTTTCAAAATCATTCCTCTGGATTCTGAGCAGAGAATAGACTTTGAGGACAAGAGGAGAATCAGTGTAACCTCTAGGAGACCCTTGCAGTGGTCCAGGAGGGGATAAGGGTGTAGTGATCACAGAATGATGTGAAGTGGTCAGGTTCAGGGTATATCTTGAAGACAAGAGCCTCCTCAGTGGGATATGAGCAAAAAGAAGGGTCAAGGATGAGCACAGCATTTGACTGGGTAGATGATGTTGCCATTTGCTGAGATGGGGAACAAAGAGGGACTCAAGGGTTCTATTTAAGCCATATTATTATTTTTTAACTTATTATTTGGTACTGGGGTTTGAACTGGTACCACTGAGCCACATCCCCAGCCCTTTTTATTTTTTATTTTGAGACGAAGTCTTTCTGAGTTGCCTAGGGTCCCACTAAATTACTGAAGCTGGCTTTGAACTTGTAATCCTCCTGCCTCAGCCTCTCAAGTCACTGGGATTACAGGCATGCGCTACCACACCCAGTGAGCCTTGTTAATTTTGAGAAGTCCATTTGTGTTCTTGTAGAGATGTAGAGTTGGCTGGGCCTGGAAAATGTTCCTTTGAGAGTCATCAGCATATAGATGGTAATTAAAACTATGAGTTTGGGTGAGATCATTTAGGGAGAGAAAGGAGATGTGTAGGTTTTTGACAAAGAAGGAAGGCAAAGGATGGATTTTCAGATAAAATCCCTATAAAGAAATAAATGAAGTCACACACTGATTAATATATATATATATATGATATGATTCCATTTTATGCAAATATGAATTATACAAATGAGATAATGTGATGTAAATGCAGTAATTAAAACCTCACCTTATATAAAAATTTGAAATACTGTGACAGCCTCCAAATCAAGAAAACTGGTTTTACAATTGCATAGTTCTGAATCTGGTCACATGACTGAATTATAAACTGCATTTGTGCAGTTGGCACATGGCTGTGCCTTTGGCTGGCAAGCAGAAAGACTAGCATCCTTTGCCAATAACCTGTAAACGGCATTGTTCTTTATATGGGCTGGAACTTCAACAAGCTGTTTTGATGACTAAGTTTAATTCATTGTTCAGACATTTCAGATTTTTTAAAATCCTATAATTACATCATCTAAAAGTTCATTAACTGAAGGTTCACTCAAATGAAAAACGTGTGCACCAAAGGTTAGATGTGATAGACTTCTATGGAGGCCAAACCGGTATCATGCCTTGCAGGACTACAATTTAGAAGATCTTTAAAATATCTTCAAAATATCAAGGATCAATGTTGTAGGATAAAAATCAGCCAACATGTGCCATGATGGTTGTAGTAGATGTAAGGCTCAGGTATCTCCCATAACCCCAACCACCTCTGTCTGAGAGTTATACACATTTTCATCTATTTCTGAGATTCTGACTTCGGATTCAGCTGCTCCTTGTTGGTTTTGCTCATTTCTAGACAAGCCCTCTCACTGAGCTTCTTCCCTGTTCTCTTTGGGCTCCTCAGTTTTCCCATTTCAAGCTTTCTGGTGAGTTTCTTTAGCCTTGCTTCCCAGCCCCCATAGACATTCCTACCATCACCCGCTCCAAAGCCTGCCTACCTCCCACTCCTACCTCCCGCTCCCTGCCTCTGGGTGCCTTTCAGTTTAGCTTCCCACACCCAGGGCATCCTCAAGAGTTCCTTCTTGGTAAGTATTTGGCTCCACCCATCCCACCTGGTTGGTCTACTCAGGTCTTTTGTGGAAATGTTGACAACAGAATGGGAAACCAGTACAGGCTTTAAGGGCAGGGTGATAAGTAGCATTTGTGGGCTGTTTTAAATCCTTTGCACAATGGGCAGCCCCTAACTTGCTTTTACATGTGTTTTACGACCCTTGGATTTCAGTGAAAATACTCTGGATGGAACTTCTGGAGCATCTAATTTCAGGAATATGAGCATCCATTTTGTAGGGTTCTCTGTATAACTAATGGTTTATGGCACATGAAGGTTTCAGGGGAATGGTATTTGTGATGATTGGCATCAACCCTGGTTTTCATTTGTCTTTTTTTTTCTCATAGAGTAGAACCTAAATTCAATTTTTAAAAATGAAGCTTACTAGGGGGAATATTGCTGCTCCCTGCTTCTTTCCTCAGTAAGTAATTTCAGGAATAAAAGGATAGGATCTTTCCGTGCTTTTAAATGGGCATTTAAAAAATGGTGGTTTCCTCTATAAGTTAAAACAAATAGGCAGACAAAACAAAGGCCAGGGCTTTGGTCCAGCACTAAAGGAGATACCCAAGATGAGCAGCCAGTCGGGAGGGCAGTGGTATAAGAAGGAGACTGACCTCTCACTGTGTACCTCTTTGGACTTTAAAATTTTTTGCATTGCTTACATATCATCTTATAAAAAGGATAGGAATAGTATCCCTTTTACTCTTAATTGACAATTTAGAAACAAATTTAAGTTCCTTTACCCCTTGGTCTGTTTCTGCTCTTGTTTGATGTGTCTTTTGATTAAGGCCATGGCCTGTTCACAATGTCCCCTTGTCTTTATTGGAGCTGCAGTTTCATGTTCTTTAGCATTTTAGGACTAGGGTTCTTTAAGTTGAATTTCAAAATTTTTTATGTATGGGAATATGTCCATTAGACCAAATTCTTTCTTTCTTTTCCCCCGTATTTCTTAAAGGATTTAAGGCTGTTTCTGGTCAATATTTTCTTTAGCTGCTCTAGGCAAATAAGAATTTTAAATGAGGTTTAGTTGCCATGAGCTGACCTACAAATTAAGCTATTTCAACTGAGCATCTTGCTGTGGCCTATTAGAGCAAAGTCTTATGACATTGTGGAATAGAATATGAGATTTGGTATCCATCGTGGTTGATAGTTTCTGACCCCAGAGTTCAGGCAAATTCAAAAGCAACCCAGGCTCATTTTCCTTGTCTTAAGAATCTCAATTACCATAAGAAAATGCTCAAAATGGAGTTAGCACAAGTTATCATTTATCTGAAAGTGAACAGTACAA